AGATATTATTTAATTTTAACATTAAAACAGGTCGTGACTGTTTGCGTGATCGAATAATATCATGTCAGAGAAATAATGTATATTGATAAAGTTGTTCATTTTTTTTTATATAATTCTTAAATAAAATAAAAGCAAGCAAGTAAAACAAAAAAAATTAGACAGAAAAGAAAAACTGCGTTGTTAGAATGATTCTTACCTTGTAAATTAGCATCTCTATTAAGAAAACCCATAGCCGTAAGTTGCTCTAACTGTGCTCTATAACGTTCTTCTGGTGGAGGCACAGGTTGACCGTCAACTTCTACACCTTGATTTAATGCCATTGCAGAAACCTGATACACATAAATGAAATATGATTTAGCATATATAAGTATACCATACAAATATGTCATACCTATGTAAGGTTAAGAACGTTATATAATAAAAACGTTATATATATCAAATGAAGAATGCCTTTTATTATACCAAAATACTACGATTATACATATTTTTTAAATGCTCATTATTAAATACTGTATTGTTTTGAAAGATTGTTATATATTTGTTATATATTTAAATTAAATTACTTTAAGGATACTCTATATACTCCAAAATCGTTTCTCGAGAAGAAAATTGAGTTATTTTAGAGATTAAATCATTGTTCGCTTACCATACGTGCCATGAACTGGGAAAATGCGTCTTGCTGATTGTTGTCCGATGATTGGGTAGTTGGTACACTGGAATTGGTGCCAGTCGTGTTCGGTGTTGTGGGTGCAGGTGGAACCGTAAGGCCCATACTAAAACACACACATTTGCACTTATTTAATCTTTCTCACGCACTATTAAAGTATTAATTTGTAAAGCAAAAATGGTATAGCAAATATAAACTTAAATTTACTTTTTATATAAAGAAACTTACTTTTCCACGAGTTCAGGAGCGACAGTGCGTAATTGTTCCATACCCCGTTGAATCTGCATAATGGCAGCTAGAGCGTCAGGGTTGGTGACGACGCTCTGTATCTGCGGGTTTTGCATTTGTTGTATGAAGGCGGGCATCATCGCACGCATTTGCTCTTGCATCTGTGGATTACCACGGAGAAATGGATTTGCTGCAATTACCCGACTGGCCATCGCTGGATCAGCCGCCATTGCTTCCAATATGGATCTCGTATATGGAGCGTTCAGCATATTTCGCATTAACTGTGGATTCTCTATCATCTGTGCCGTGAGACTCTGCATACCTGGTGAATCTAGCAGACTTCTGCCTTGATTTTGTTGTACCGTACCACTGTCGTTTTGGCTTTGATTCCATGGGTTCGGCAGCGGATCCCGATTTTCCTGACCCTGTTGTGGATTTTGCGAGTCTTGATTGGAACTGTTTTCCACTAGAGCGGCGAAAGGATTACGACCATTCGTTGCGGCTGCTAACATTGGCTCCTGAATATCACGATACATACGACGTAGAGCGCTATAACCCCCAGGTATGCTTTCTAGATTAGACAAAGCTCGATCGTGCGAACGCATCAGTTCTTGCAGCATTGACGGGTTACGTGCCAATTCCATCGTTTGTCTGAAAATCAGTTTTCATAAATATTTGTGTAATACATTGTGTAATATTGCACAATTGACTAATATATAATTTCCAAATTGTAAGTTTAAAATATTGACTCAGCAATTAACATAAGATACAAATGAAAAACATCTCAGAGCTAAGAAATATGTAGCGCTGGAAAAACATCAATTGTAATTGGTTTTCAATTCAATGGAGAAGTACAAAAAGAAATTTGATTAGAAATAAATCTTCGATTTGAAATTGATCTTTAAATACTGCGTAATATATGTGATTAATAAATCAAGCTCGAGAGAAGATTAAGAAAGAAATATTATAGTTTGTCGATTGTATGCAAATTAGCTTTTAAGTAAATTCTAAATTACCATTTAAGGTTACCTACCGTAAAAGTTCAGGGTTATTCAACATGTGACTGATTTCTGGATTACGTTGCATCAATTCTTGCATTTGGGGATTGGCGGTAACCAAATTGCGCATATTCTCCGGATCATTCATCAAACTCTGAACCAATGGATTATCGAGCACTTGTCGCATCGTTTCTGGATTCGAGAGTAATTCCCGTTGCATGCGTTGCTGTAAGTCTATGAAATTAGCCGAGCCTAAGCCAAGAGACTCTAATCCCATCAATCCCCCTAAGCTCCCCAAACCAAATGGACTGGCACTAACATCAGCTGTAATTTATACACAATCGTCAATGCAAATATTATTATACACTTCTTCGTGCAATGTAAATATTTGTTTGCAAATTTAAAACTAAAATATTCTCATTAAATAATCCTTCTTAATTGTAGGTATTAATCAAATTACATTGTAATTCTAAATACAAAAGATCTATTGTATAGATCTTCTTGTCTAATCTAAGATTTATTGTAAAACTTTCTAAGTTATAAATTAAATTTGTAAATTGTTTTTGTATATTTTTTAGAAATTTTTTTAGATACGTTATAAAGTATTCACATGTCATCTGCAGCTCACAAAAAATTCCGTTTTTTATTCTGATAGCCATCTACATGTAGAGGTACATTAATAATAAGAATGTCTAGAGAACACAGAATACTCCATGACCCATATACATGTTAAATGTTCCATAGTATCGCGGCATAATTTTATCGTTGTATTCGATTAAATTCAAGTTGTGCTCAGTAGAATACCTTGTGGTCTCGAGGCCGAGTTGGACTCCTGATTCTGCGTAGTTGCGGTGCGTGGAGCCTTAATCACCAGATGCACCGCCAGGCCGTCCTTGATGTTGTGAGTACTGAGGGTCTCATGATCCTTCATGATCTTGCCGGCGAAGATGAGGCACAGCTGATCGGCCTGTGCGTTAAACTTCTTGGAGACTGCCTCCTTAAACTGCCGGCGTGTCCGACGTAGAGGGGGAGAGGGGAGATGGGGAAGGAGAGAAAAGAAAGAAACAAACACAAGATTAAAGATACCGAACTAACCAAATCGGTTTGACAGCTGATGCTTGGCGTAATGCCAAGGGGGGCGGCGATTAGACCGCGAACGGCAGAGAGAAGGCTCACTGTCGCCATCGTCATTGCCCCGCACTTACTTCTTTTATCGTCGCATTCTCCTCGATCTCGACGGTCTGCTTTTCCTTCGGGGTTTTTACGTTGATGGTGATCTTTTTCGGACCACCCTCCTGCTGGCCTTCTGCCATCTTGGATCGGTAGATGACTCGTTACTTTCGACGCTCGCGCGATACTCAGTACGCGGTACGTGGTACGCTCGCTCGCGCTCGGTCTATCCGTCTCTCTTTGTCCTTTCCGCTTCTCTGTCTCTCTCTCTCTCCCTCGATCTCACGACCGCGGAATTGCGCACCGACGATACCGCGACACGATAGGACACGACACGACACGACACGACGCGACGGCGACGACACTCCCTCGCTCTCGCTCTCGCCCTCGCCCTCGCCTCGCGATGCGATCCGCTACTCCGTTCAGTCCGTTCACCGTTGCTTGCGCCCGACGCAACGGCGAGGAACTATTACAGAATATATAGTAGCAAAAAAGCGAAACTCTCCCGATTCCGGTAACTTCTATATAGCTCCAGCGTGTACGAAATTCAACTGCGCACGCGCGAGCTAAAGCTCATGGCACATGTATGTATACATACATTACAAAAATGTAAAGTGGGGAGCACAGACTATTGTATAAGGGGTTCCGCATAATAAAAGGAACAGAGAACAGAGAATAGAGAATAAGAATTTCAACCTACCAGAAACTATTCCACAATACATAATTTCTGATAGGTTGAAATTTTTATTCTCTGTTCCTTTTATTGTGCAAAGCTCGTAACGCATTACACAGACTCTTGTATAAAGCATAAGAAATTTAACCAATCAGAATTCTTTATTTTATGGAAAGGAAAGAAACAGAGAACTTTGATTGGTTCATTTTCTTATGCGTTACGTGTTATGCAAAAGTCTGTGCCCCCCCGCTTTATTCTCTATTTACTATTCCCTGTTCTTTTTATTGTGCGAAATAATCCATAACTTGCGTCAACTAATCAAATTGTATTAAATTATATCAGCTACTACACTTTAGGCTGCATTTTCATGCTGACGCTCGACGCTCATTTTTAGCGTCAAAATACGTCACGTAATAAAAATTGACGAATATTAAGCGTCAATTTTGATCACATGACCTGTTTTTACGCTAAAAATGAGGGTAAAGTATCAACATAAAAAATTACCTTTATTCTAGTTGAAACTATTTGATTGGCTGTCGCAAGTTACGCTGCATGTGAAAACAGCTTTATGGCCAATATAAACGCTCCCTAATGCTATGATTAAGGTGCAGCCACAATAGAAGGAATAAGGAATTAGGAATAAGGAACAAGGCTTTCAACCTATCAGATATTGGATACACTGGAATACACTGGATTTCTAATCCATATTCCTAATTTCTTATTCTTTCTATTGTGGCCGCTTATGCAGTTTATGTCATTATGCGGGTAGCCCTTAAATTTAAATGATTTTAATGAATTATTAAGCGAGCTTTCTAGCAAGAGACACAAATTGACACAAGAGTTATTCTGTCCTTGTTCAATAATCAGTAAGAAACAAAGACGGAATGAATTCTTGTGTCGATGACGATTTGTGCCTCTGCTGGAAAGCTCCCTAAATAGCCCTTGTGCTATCCTCAACAGAAGAACCAAAAAATTTATAATGAGGTGAAACATTGCACATAATAACAATAGCAATACTGGAAATAACCAATCAAATGTTCTCCAATATGTACTTTCCTATGTATAATAGATTTGGTTATACTGGAGCAGCCAATGAAATGTTTCCCAAATTCGAATTGCGTGTTCACGCAAGTGCTTCACCTTATTAATTTCAATATGATTTTTTCATTCATGTTATTTATCAAATATTAAACAAGAACAAATAATGGCTGCGTTCAGCAGAGAAAACTAATCAGTTAGCGCTTAGAGATTCTTTAATATGATTCGTTCCTAAACTCAACGAAAATCTAAAGATAAGAATCAATTATATTAAAGAATCACAACTCAGCCAATGCTCGTCAGTCGTGCGGTGAGCAAATCAGCCTTGTGAGCAGTTGTGACTTGTGACTGTGCGAGTTGTGAGGGTCAGGTAGAACGCATTTGAAGTCTTTGATTCTGATCGTATTTTCGATTTCTCAAATTAAAGCCGATTGAAGAAGAAAAGTAAAATTACATACAAATTAACACAAATGTCGTGACGGTGACTCGTGACGCTCGTGACTCATTGAAAATTCACGTCGCTATAGGAAAAAATCCTATAAAGAAAAAATCGTCAAGAGAATCAACAAACTCCAAACATGGTAAGAGAATCGAAAAAATCGAAGATTTTATTAGGGTAACCAGGGAAACAGGAAAAATCTTGCCAAAATTTGTTTTCCAAATGGAGAGTAATTTGAGATTAACAATTTAGCATGACACTGGATGACTTTTCAGTTTCAGTTCGGGTTTAACATGTTCCCGGAAATTCCGCGGCCCTTCAACACTCAGTACAAATGTTTCTCAGTGTCGATGTTGCCTGGAACCTATCGTCAGGATGTCGAACGCGGCGGCAAGAGTAAGTACCAATTACTGGCAATTAGGTGATAACGGGAAGAACACTTTGCATTAATTTGTTTTTTTTTTTTAGTAATCATGCCACCATCTGCCTTGGAGCAGCTTACAAGACTCAATATTATTTATCCAATGTTATTCAAACTAACCAACAAGAAAACAAATAGAATTACTCACTGTGGTGTATTGGAGTTTATCGCCGATGAAGGAAAAGTCTATTTGCCTTATTGGGTTAGTGAAGAAAATCTATTATATATATGTAATGATAGATGAATAAATTATTTATATTTTTTCTCATAGATGATGCATAATCTTTTGTTGGAGGAAGGCGAACTACTGAATGTAGAGAGTGTGTCATTACCAGTTGCGACATTCTCTCGTTTTCAGCCACAATCAGAGGACTTTCTAGATATCACAAATCCAAAGGCTGTATTGGAGAACGGCCTGCGCAGCTTTGCCTGTCTAACTACAGGCGATGTGATTGCAATCAAATATAATCAGAAGATTTACGAGATGTGTGTATTAGAAACTAGACCTGGTCCAGCAGTTAGTATCATTGAGTGTGACATGAATGTGGAGTTTGCTCCACCGGTAGGCTATAAAGAGCCAGTACGAAAACCAAAGAAGGAAGAAGATGAGATAGAGCATCTGGCCGATTTGATGCCGGCGCAGACTGGCTTTGTACCTTTTCAGGGTGAAGGTGTCCGGCTGGATGGTAAAAAACGCAAAGACATGCCCAAGCAGGAAACTGTAACTACCAAGCCGACCTATGTTCGTGGAATACCCGATTATGATTACCAAATAGGCACTCTTAGGTTCCTGCGAAATATGAAGCCAGTGAATAATAAAGAGGTGAGAACTTTAGTTGGAGTTCTCTATGACGTATAGAATTATAAATAAAATTTTGTCACGAACTTTGTCGTGTAATGCAAAAATCCGTGACTTTACTTTATGGCAACTTCACATGGCATTACACGTGATTGTATTGTGATTAATATCATTTATATTCTTTTAGACGAAGGATCCAGACGAGTTTAAGGCGTTTACTGGCGAAGGGTTTACACTTCTGAGGAAATCCAGAAAATAATAGAATAACGAGCAATTATTTATTTTTAATTTATAAATTTGAGAGAGAATGAATCAAGAATTTTGCCAGAATGAATGTTGAATTATCCGAATTACTATTTTAATAAAATATACGTATGTTTTTATTTTTCTGTTATATGTTTGTCATAAGCAGAAAAAAACGTTGCTTCGTTTTTCATATTATGTCTTTCTAGGGAAATAAAGAAATTAAATAATAAACTATGTATCAAACTCTATGAAGGGGATAATGCTATAGAATTTTATAAAGATATTATCAAGGATAACTTTTTTCAAAGTGATTGTCCATCAATCTACTTTTACAGAGAAAACTTATTTTATATATAATAGTGATATAATTTTATTTACAACAAATATATACGAATTACGTTTAAATGCTAATTAATTAATTAATCTGGGACAGATTAAAAGTATCTGACAAATGTTGAATATTCATGCACATAATTGCATTCTTAGTAAATTTCGGGGTATAACCCATAATAGATACATTCTGGAAATTCCGATGGTTCTAACTTTTCTTATATTCAATTCTTTCCACTTTAACTTCGTCTCCGACCAGTTGATATACATACGTAACCACCGTTGAACTTTGAATGTCCATCAATACGAATGATGGTATAACTGATCTAAAAACAAATTATTATTAAAAAAGAATTCCCATAGAATTTTCTTATTACACTAATCATTATTGTAAATGTGTGTTTTTTTCAGAGAAAATAATTTATACATTAACAATTAAAATATTGTATCAAATAATCAATTTAAAAATAGATTTGTAATAAAAAAAATAGAATATTTGTGAACTGAATCTTTGGAAATATATTTATTCTCAAAAATATTTATATTCAATACAGTTTAATATTTTTTTTATATCATTTTTAGATCTTTTTGAAAAGAAACTTACGTATCTAGAGGATTGTAAGCTCCAGTAGCTGATCCAGGATTGATATAAAATTTATTTTCGTGCTCATAGGCTTCAAATTTATGTGTGTGTCCAGATATAAGAATATCGACATCTAATTGTCTCTGTATCAAAGCTAAAGATTCTGGATCACCCCATGGAACCACTTGATGTCCATGGGAAAGTCCTATTCTAAACTGACCTACAGTAACTACTTTCTGTTCTGGATAATTTAGATTCTGTAAACAAATAAAATTTTTTGCTTTGATCTGCATATAAATAACATTGACAATTATGTTTTTTGTATGTCACAAGTATGTTAAATTATAATTTAATTTAATCAATAATAACTCTATTTTTCTTGTTCTCAATTTTATTTGACATATCTAATTTTCCATATCCATTTCTACCAATATAATTTAATTTTAATCTTTCAACTTAATCTTGGTTAATTGAACTGAGATTACAGTTAATCTACATTGGTAGAAAAGACATAACTGTTTTGACTACATTTTAATATTATTCCATATTTTTGTTCTTAAATGATTAAATAAAACTGTTGGATGAATATATACCTCATCAAAATCTCCTCTGACTACATGTACATCACTGGCTAATGTCTTGAGATAATCATAGGACTCTTTTGTACAAAGATTGCCAGTGCATAAAATATGCTGTATTCTTCCTGGTACTAGCAGTTTCTTGAATTTACTAGGCAGACTACTACATCTGTGTGGAATGTGTAAGTCTCCTAATACCAACACAAGCTGAAAAAAATTTGTTTCTGTAATCACTTTCAAATAAATGATTTTAAAAGCTTAGTATGTAATATTATATTAAATAATTGTCGTTTTCTAAGTAAAAAAGATATATTTATAAATATTTTTTAAAGTTAGAACTTTATGCAATAAAAATTAACAATTATAAATTATTGAAATAAACTGAAATAAATTAAAATATTATTTATAAATGGAAAATGATTGAAGAATAAAAAAGTTAGCCATAGGTGATTTTCTAATTATACAATACGAGATCAATGCATGAAAGAAATTATAAATTGATACAATACTACATCTACTTTAAGGTTAGATTATTAAAATAATTTTCAATTTTTAGCATATTTATTGATTATTTTTATGTTACTTACCATGATTTTTGTTTTTTTAATTATCTCCTTTTGATATATTCCGATATTTATAATCTCACGATATCAATAATTGCTATAATATAATGCACAGGAGGCTGTCGGAGGCTGAAACGTCAAACATGACACCGGAAGTGTACATACATACATAAATGGACGGAAGTCAGCACTCGGCATGTTTTCGAGACGAATTTCGTACTGCGCAGATTCCAAATGCGGCCATTTAAATATTTACGTCGCGGTAATTTTGAAGTGATGACAGAATTCGAGAAACCAGAAATGAGTACTTGGATTCTAAAGACTCTTCCACCATTCTCGCTGATCAATTTCATCGACGATCCTCTTTTCTTTGTAAATACACTCACTCACAAAAAAAATAGATTACATTATAATAGTGGCCGAGATGAGGTTTCTCTCTGATTATAGCAATTATAACAATTGATATCATAGAATTTCAAATCGTGAAAATAAAAATCTCAATAATCAACAAGGAAATTACACTATCTCGATTCCAAATATTTTCAGTTTATTCAGAGCGCTATATTTTATTCACTGTTGCAGATCTCAAGTATTATTTTATCTATGACATAACCTATTCAATCTTTCAACCTGAATGGTCTTCAAAATTATTATTATTGTGTTTATGGCCGCGCGTGAAAGTTCGAATGGGCAGTGCATTGTTTTGTTAGAATTGTTATAAATCGAGAAATATATTTTATATGTATATATATATATATATTTTTCCAAATATTAATCGCGTATAGAATAAAAAGTATTCAACATGAAATGCGTCATACCCGGCGGTAACGTCAAAAGTATGTTTATTCTCTTAATTTTTTGTTAGAGACAGAATTGCTGTTTTATAGCGCAAACGAAATTCGTCAATTTAATTTAGCATTTTCTATTACATGACTAATTTAATCTTTTATACTTATTTGTTTTGTATTGCATACATTATTATTTACAAAAGAATGTATTAAATATTATATATATTATATATATTATATATGAGCTAAATAAGGGACCTATTCTGTAACTTTTAACGATATCGTTAAATTGTCGTTGCGCATCTTTTTTACTGTATACAAAATCTGCGCAATGACAATGTAACGATATTGTTGCAGTCGTTAAGAGTTATAGAATAGGGCTGTAAAACTTCTAAAAAATTTGATATGTATCAGAAAAAATTCAGATAAATATAATTTCATGAAGCTTCTTTGTACTGAAATTTTTAATTAGTATTTTTTTATTGATACAGTTTTGGCAAAGGCGATACATACACTAGCAAAGATTGGAGATGAAATGTATGTGAATCCTCAAGAAGAATCTATCTCTTTTCGCACAGTCAACATGGCAAAATCAGCATATTCGGATTTCACGTTTCACAGAAATTTCTTCTCCTATTATGATCTTGGAAATCTCGATGAAGAAGAGGCACAGAAGTGTAAAATTTCAATGAGGGTAGTATCTACTTCAAATACATTTATGTACATGATATTTAACCTATTCTAAAATTTACAGAGCGCAATGACAGTCTTCAAATCTGCACATACATTGGACAAGCATGTAGAAACTTGTCACATTCATTTGGAGATGGATGCCTGTAATCTAGTATTTATCTTAAAATATAAAAATGGTATCAACATATCCCATCTGATGCCCATTTTGGATTCTGAAAAGTTGCAAGTACACTAAAAACATTTTTCTTGTTATAATTGATTCTCAGATACAATTTAGAGACTACTTAATGTTTAAGAACTACTTAAACTTGATTAATTCTATTGATTATAGTATTTCCAAATATTATGAATATTTGAGGAATTAAAAAGTAAAAATTTATATATATATATATATAAAAGAAAATATTTGAGGATCAAATTTTCATTTGAACTTTATTGATTGTATCAGATAATGAAATTTTGGATTAAATAGGCATCGTACACTAAGGCTAGTATGTCCAATGAATTGACGTCACGAGCTCGAACATTTACAGAAGCTCTGCAAAATTTTCCACAAAATTTAATCGAAATAACGCTTCAAATAACGCCACATAAATTATTATTTAGAAACTATGTGGATGATGCATCAGGTAAGAAGTATCCCATTTCTATCATATAAAATGCATATATAAAATAATGTAGTAATTAATATATTACTGTCAATTAATGTCAATACTACAGTCATATATATTACAGTTATGGTAAATACTACACGTACCCAGCTGGCCTTTGGTATCGGAGAATTTGATCGTTACACAATTGGCAATGAAACAAGTATCACATTTTGTGTAAAAGAATTCAAAGCTTTACTCGTTTTCAGTGAGAGCGTAGGCGTTCCAATTACTGCAAGTTTTGGAACAGCAGGAAGGTATACATCAAATTCTAAAGCTATTTAATATTAAGTAGATGTATACTTTGATAGTTAAAGATTAATATATTGAAGTATTATTTCTCTATATCAATAATAAAAAGTGAGCATTTTATATTTTGATAATTATTGATTTTTCAATATAATATTTTTTTTAGACCAATATTGTTTATGGTTAAAAGTCCAGCTTTTGAAACAAACATGCTCTTATCAACTTTAAGTCCGGACTGTGACAGTCAGTCAGACACATCGATTGTCAGTAGACAAGTGCAATCCGTTCGAAAAAAGAATTCTTCGAGGAGTACATCCAATCGTGTCAACAAAATGTCCTCGAGTCGAATAAAGAAATTGATCAAACCTACAGTTAGTGATGTATCCAAGAATACGCTAGTAAAAGAGAAAATTCAGTCAAAAACACAAGACAGTTCAAACAAAACACTCAACGAAAATAGGAATGCTTCTGTGAGCATCGTTAACGCAAATGCTAATAATTCTATAAATGATGTTCAAGAAAGAAATTCACATATACCAGTACAACGTTGTTGCTCTGTCACATGCAGTCCTGCTAGCACATCTTCGGCAATTAGTAGGAAGATTTCGGAGGGCCAAAGAAAGTTAGTAAATTCAGTATTTTCTAGCATTACAAAGAGAAAATCGATGGATGATAAAGGAAATCAGAAGGAGGAAGAAGATGCAATAGATTGTGATCTAGACGATAATGTGCCGCAGTCGCCGCCGCGTAAAGTGGCCAAGAAGGCAAAAGTAGTATTCCAGAAATGCTTTCAGAATACTTTTGATCCGCGAATGTTACCTGGTCATAATACTATCTTGGTAGAGGATTCCGATGAGAATAACAGTGATTAATATTATCTTGTCAGATTTGGAAGAACTTTTATAATGACAAAGAACAACTTATTTGCTCCATAATAAAATACTGTATAATTTCATAACAGATTTTCTGGGCAATTAACCAAGACAATACTTAAAGTAAATTATTTATTTATTATTTTGAATAACGTTTTTCTTTATTTAAATCAGTAATCAGTTCACTTTTTTTAATTGAAAATTAAATTTTTGTATAATTTGTATATAGAGAGTTTTGAATAAGAGTTTAATAGAAACTTTTCAAACTAAATGTTCTTTTAATATTAAGTGATTCAATTGTGTAACCTCTCATTACTCTTGATAAATAGAGCTATTTTTCAAATAGTTTGTTTTAATTATATGGAATTTTATAAAAAAAATCTGAATAATTTGAAGTAATAAAAGTATAGATGTGCAAGAGAATCATGTTTACAAAGTAGATCTTGATATTGTATATAAGATGTTCTGATTGTAAAGATCTCATTGTAAATAAAGAATTTTTATACACATAAAATGCCGACTAATATATGAGTATGTAAGAAGTTATTGCTTTATATTTGCACACTTTTCAGACTTATTTATTTTCCGTAAATGATTGGAGTATAATTTTGTGTGTGTGTGTGTGTGTGTATGTACGTGGCGCGTCGAATTTTCATTATATTATGATAAATTAATAAAAGTTTTCTTGTGAAACGGAACAAATTAATTTAATTTTTCCACTAATAGAAATTCAAAATTTTTACACCATCAGAATTAATTCTATTTCATAACAAAAAATAGATCAAAGTACTACCCGTATACAATATATTTAGAATACTGTATATACACGCGCGCGCGCGCGCGCACACACACACAAAACATATGTCAAGGTATAACACGTGCTCATTCTAACTTTACCCGACACTGCTGTAGTACGTCTGCGAACTGCGTTCTGCGTTTGCGACTTATGTAGATGGCTCTTAACTGTCCTTACCCTATTCATTTCTCGCGTCAGACACGTTTACATAATTACGGGATTAGCGTCACGTGGGAGAATAACAAAGAGAAACGTAAATAGAATGAAACGAATAGTGTTTAATTTAACTGTTCTGACGAGCGCGGGTTTGGGGGGCTGGTGTTTGGGCAAGTTCTCTGAACAAAGGCGATATTCGAAAGACAATGAAACGAATGTGTTGTCAGCGGCGCGACTTCGGAATATGCCGTGTTTGCCTCTATTCGGCACCGTTTCGGCGGCTACCCCCTTGATACCTGTTGGAAGTAACCACGACATGGGCTCCAAAGTGTCTTCGACTTCTACAAGGGTATCGCAGGTGAGTGAAAATCGAGAGTCGGATCAAGGACGATTGACTAACCCCTCAGATTTATTCAATTATATATGTTACATATACATATATATATTTATATAGTAGCGACAAATTAAGAAAATTTCGTAATTTGCAATGGATTTTTTGACAAATCAATTGTAATGATAAATGATTTAATAATAAATATAATTTGATGGCAATTGCAAGTAATAAAAGAATTACGTATCTTAACGATATGTAGAAACTGCGAAATGCTACAATTATTTGTAGCATTATTATAAAAATGCTAATAGTCGTATTGGACTTTGGTAATATTGCGGCAGATTATGAAATTTGGTTTTCCCGGATTGGATCATGTCAGGTCGTATGAGGATTTTGTGCTCTCTTATGACAGGCGAAACAAAGTTGCTCATTGGGTATTTGAGCACTTGACCAAGGAGAGATTGCAGTATAACAAAGAAGTAGATCGCTCAAAGTGTGAGTTCAAGCCTGATGAGAGTATACATCCTTTTTTCAGGTAAAGAAATAAAATTTTTTTATTAATTTTTTAGATTATTTTAAAAAAAATCTAAAAAAATTTATTAATTAAATTTAATAGATCCAATTAAAATCTATTGAGACTGAGTCTTAAGTTTGATGATACCAATAGATCACAGAATATGGACTACAAAGGAAGCGGCTATGATCGTGGTCATCTGGCAGCAGCTGGGAATCATAGAGTGGACCAGAAACACATGGGACAAACCTTTTTCCTCACTAATATGGCACCGCAAATCGGAAAAGGCTTCAACAGAGATTCCTGGAACAGACTGGAGAAATACGTTCGAAAATTGACAAATGTTTACACGGATGTTTACGTGTGCACAGGACCGTTGTACCTTCCTAAGTGCGTTGCAGTGCGTTTACTTGCTGTTTGCAGTTTTTGCTTTGTGAATCTATTTTCATATTATTATTATTTACCTTATTAATGTTCAATTTTTCTATTATTACTATTTTATCTTATTGTATCACGTATTTTATATTATTGTTATCACGTATTATATATGATGCTGCGCTTGTTTAGCGTCGAAACACTATGTCTCCAAACTGTTGTTATTTTTTCTGTTAAGCTTCGCTTGTCTTACTCGAAACTTAACTTTTTGAAAAGTACTGTAATAGATTTACACTGTTACTTTTTATTTATAGAAGAGAAGCAGATGGAAAAAAATATGTGCGTTATGAAGTAATAGGCTCAAATCATGTGGCAGTGCCTACACATTTTTACAAAGTAATCGTTGGTGAAACCAGCGATGGCAAACTTGAAATGGAAGCTTTTGTAATGCCGAATACACCGATTGATGATAATGCGCCACTTACTAATTTCCAGGTATTTCAAAAAATTATATATATATAAAATATAAAAGATATTAAAAACTATGTAGAACATATTCTGTATATATAAAAATTATAAATATATGTTTAAGTGTATAGAGCAATATAAACATAATTAAATTGCCAATACATTACTTATTAATTATAATAGAAGAAATTATTACAACTAAACGTATTAGAATAATTATATAAGTGTAAAAAATAAATGATGTATTAAATTTATTCAGTATAACAAGAGATAATAGATTTATATTATAAGAATTCGATCAATTTTTTAACAGGTACCACCAGACAGCATCGAACGCGCTGCCGGACTTTTATTCTTCGACAAAATTTCACGAAATAAATTAAGCAAAGTGAATGGCAAGAACACAGGCTGAATTTGGAGACGACTGCTCCATTCTCTTTTCTTATTCGGATTGTAAAGAGTTTTATTTTTTGACACATCATCACACATATGTATATTTAAATCTAGTCCATTATTTTTTAACTCATTGTACATAATTTTAGAAGTTTTATCATGATGTTTTATATTATGCATACATACTATATATTGTTTTAGCTGCTTTGTATTTTATTTTATCGAATAAAGATATTTGCTGATGCATCAATTCGTTTGTTTACATATGCGTTTATTGATTTTGTACATTTAGTCGTCCTTGGAGTCGCTATATTTAATTGTGTAACGCAATGTATTTTCGATTCGTTTATACCGAATAAAACGCGCTCAAATCTACCGTATTTATTCTCTCGAGTCTTATGTCGAAGATTTAGACATAGATATACCTATATTTACTGTGAAATAAAAATTATGCGTATAAATAATTTTACACAATAGCGTTTTGAAATGAATAGAAACGGAATAGTTATTTGAATTATACTCGTACATATTCAGACAATTTTTATATATTTTGGCAAAATAACAAAATTGAATAAAAAGGATGTAATTAATACAAATTTAGTTTTGTTGAATATATAAATATGGAATGTATATATACATATATTCGGTATATACATTTGGATTTTCTTTATTTTTCTTATTTCAAACGCTGGGAACTCAGTCTTGAACACAAATGCTTTATAAGTGAAGAATCAAACGCTTATAAAATCGCAAGATAAAATCTTATAAGATATCGCCTCGTCGCTACTTTGGTCGTGGTAGTATAAGTACGTATCGATTAATACGTTTGTTATCGTTTAAATATCTAATAGTCATATAAAATCCTAAATGTGATAAAGTCGTTAATAATCTTTTTATCTTACGAGCTATGTCTATGTACAAAATTAACAGGCGCGATGATAATGCGAGTTTTTCCGTGCGCGCGAAGAATTTGTCTTTTTTATGTTCACATCGGAAATACTTGACACTATCCATGTCTCTTTATAATAAGTCAGAATATATGTCGCTGCTTGACGATATTTAAGACTAATTCTTGCGAAAATAGGCAAATTAAAAGAGAACTTTATTGCAATTTAATTAATATAAATAATATAATTAAAATTGTATTGAATAAATAAAAAACATGTTAAAAACAAATTAAAATAAATGATAAACAGTTTAATAGAAGCAAAAAATATAAAATAATACTAAAAATAAGATAAGAATTAAAAGGAATTAATGAAAATTTTTTAAACCAAATAGATTAAATTAAAGAAAAAATATAATTAGAAAAAAATAAATGTAATTAGCAGAATAAAGATACAAGAATCAAAAGTTTGAATTTGCAGAAAATGTCTAGGGGTATTTGCAGAAAAATTCCCTCCTCCCCCCTTAATTCACCTATTTTTTTGCAAGTGTAAGAACATTATGCATTATTCTCGAGATCTAGCATGTATTTTTAAGTCGTACGCCTTTTTGGAATATTGTTCTGCTTGTTTCTTTTGTTTATTCTCATTCATCAATATTGCATGCATCGCGACTTATAAATAATATCTCTTTAAGTAAAGTATACATTAGGCACTAAAATGGACGGGTCTGTTTGCTCGGATTCGCCTTCTTCGAGTATTGCTTCACGTCTTAAGGACACTTCTGAGAGCTTTAAGTACACTTTATTATAATCTACGTAATATTTATTTTACGCGTGTTATTTACAGGATGTCTTAGAGAAAGAGAGAGAGAGAGAGAAAGAGAGAGATATAGTTCATTTTCTTTATTATTATTATTAAACAAAACTTTTTTATCCGAGTATTATTTGGTACTCGAATATATCTCCCGTAATTCTTAGAATTCTTAAATTCAGAATTTCTGAATCTTTTATATATAGATTCTGAACATTCAGAATATATAGCTTGTCGAATCTTTAGAATCATTAAATTCTAAATTCTCGAATTCTCGAATTTTAAAACATCGTCATTGGTCCCTTGTATTTAAGTAAAAGAATTACGATCTTTTTAAATTCGTACATGCAATGAATGTACTCTTTCTCTGAGACACTCCATATTATACATTCTCAGAAAGCTCGAAACAAAACGTTGACTTTGAGGTTCCAACGCAAAGTGCCAAGTTTTCAAATCTACTTGATCGATAATTATCCTCTATTGGCAAACATGCCGTCAAAAATCGTATCGTTGTAAAAAACGTTTTTAATTTATTAATCCTAAAATCATTCTCTACGTAATTCTTCACAAACATTGAATTAAAAGGATTTTATGGAAATTTTTTGATCAAATTCCAAAAGATCTAAAATTTAATTTTATAATAAATTTTCCTTTCTGTCTATTTTTTTTTGTAACGATGAAACAGCGAGGACTAGAAGACGCAATGATCGTTTCACGTCAACGACTTGGCTGTTCATTGAGCCATCTGCATTCAGTCGAAAATCTTCGCTATGGTGAATCACATTTTCGGAAGACTAGGCTATGCAAATGGCTCGATATATGGAAAGATTTACATTTACAAATTCGCAAGTAAGCAAAATTATATAAAAAATTAATAATGTATAATAATTTTAACTTTAGAAAAAAGAGTAAAACAAATGATATTATTTTATTCTTATTAATTTTTTTCGCGTAATACGAAATCTGCTCTTTCGAAAAGCAGTTTCCACATATCGAAATTCACTCGCATTACCTAATTACGATTTACCTCCTTCCGCGATTGCCACGATTAAATCAATCTCTCCTCTGGTGGAGGCTTCATTACATTATCCATCTCCACTCTTGGATTGCTGAACTCCTGAGCACTTGGACTGTATGTGCCACGTGTTGCACGTTTTTTCCTTGCCATCATAAAAAGCGCTACAAGAGATACGATGGCAATTAGGAGGAGACATCCTACGATCGGGCCTACGATTACCACTATGTTGAAGGCTTGGCTGCTTAAATAATTATATTCCAGCTGAAAAATATAAATTATGTATATATTTGTTATCGATATATGTACATAAAAATAAATAAT